TCATGCATGCATGCACCCACCAACCACCTTACTTACTTTGTGATAAAATTTTGCCTATAAATACAGAGCCTCACATACTTCTATTGCATCCACAATCCTCTCACTCTCTACTTCAAACTCTTTCATAATCTCAGACAATTTCAACAATGGCTCTTCTCACAATGGGCGATTCTCACAGAGGCACAAGGGACAACATTGCAGCATTTGTAAGTTTCTTATATACTTATACATTTTTCATACTTATATTAATGTTTTATTCATCTTATGGACTCTTACACTTTTTACATTCTTAACGTAGGATACTAAAAGATTCAGAATCCGGTCACACAACTACCTTGCTCCCGGCCCGTTGATTGTACCCTATCTCGAATACGCAGGTTTCAGAAACATTATAAAGATCTCCAACTGCATGATTGATTCAAAGTTCATACTTGCAATGTTGGAAAGGTGGAGACCAGAGACCCACACATTTCATCTACCAATAGGTGAATGTACCGTCACACTAGAGGACGTGTACATGTTATTGAGTCTCCCTGTCGATAATAAGGAGGTTAACGGGTCGGTTCAACAACCCAATTCTCTGTGTGAAGAATTGTTGGGCAGGGATATGGTTGAAGGTTGTGGTGCGAGAGGTCAGGGTATACTACTTACTGAGCTCAAAAATCATTATGCGACTCTGGAATTGAACGAAAATTCCTCCGAGCTAGCTAAGGTAATAAAAGCTAGAAATTATATAGTGATACTATTTGGAACCTTTTTATTTCCCGAAAGTACGGGAAATAATGTAAATTTTATGTATTTAAATTTACTTAGAGACTTTGAAAAAACTAGAAAGTATAGTCGAGGTTCTGCTGTTTTAGCCCATCTATACAGTTCCTTGTGTAAAAATGCAATCAAGGAAAAATGTACATTTTATGGCTGCACTTTTTCACTTCAAGCTTGGGGTTGGTGGAGAATGAAGTCCCTGAACCCCTTCAAAAACAACGCATTCGTTTTCCTATGCGCAACAAAGTAAGTCATTAACTTATATCATTTATTATTATTTATCTCTTCACCAAATATATGGTAAAAATAAAATATTTTTTAATTCCTTTAGGTACTGCGTGAGGGGTATGGATTACGGCAAGAATCCAAGATTCAATGTCGCTCTATATCACAATCTATTGGATCACCTTGGCCCGGATGATGTACGTCACACGTTTTAACTTTTCTACTTTTCAATTATTTATTTATTACGTTTTCATTAAGCTGATTTAATTTTATCCGCAGTTTGTCTCGAGACCATATTTGGGTTTAGACCATGTACCAAACTCCGAGGATGCAGCAATTTGGAGCGCAAAGACTGCAATCATACGATTCAATGTTATGGAGATGCACCACAACGACCGTGTCAAGATGCAGTTTGGAATGCATCAAGAGATACCCTGCGATCCAACTTGTTTGTCCCCGTGGCATCTCAAAATGGTCGACGCCCAATGGGGTCTTACCAACTGGAAAGATTTTACTCCAGAATGGTGTAAGATGTGGCAGAGACGTCACCGACATGTCTTGCAATTCCCGGTTTTCCTCAACCATAGTAATATGCGACATACAGATCAATATTTAACTTGGTACATATCGGTTAGTACCCCAGAAATGCACGTGTCTCATCTAAGGTATTTGGTTGACCCATGAACACAATGGGCACAAACCTCATTTCCCCAACAACAAACCCAACACACACCAACCTCCCCGACGAAACAGAACCACAAACACCCAACCACAATCACCACCACAATACGATTACACCCACATGCCCCACAACCAACCACAATCACCACCTCAATACCAATACCCCCATATGCCTCACATCCAACCACAATTTCAATCACAATGCCAATACACCCGCATGTCCCCCACACACTTCCAGTCTTCTACATATCTCAATATGGGTCCCTCAACATCTAACCTTAGCCCTAATTTGAGATTTTCCGAAGATTATGAACCAACCGACCCAACTTACCATCAACCACCACATCACCAAAGCACCCAACATTCCCAATACTAAACACCCCAAGATCCATTTCCTTTCTACCCCCGTACTCAGACAACCGATGCTATAGACCAATCATGGAACCCCATCCACCACCAACACAACTAAACTTTGAGGGTATGGGTAACCAACTATACTAAAGTGGATCTTCTAAATATGGAGATCTGACTGATTTCATGAATCCGGAACGCATTGGCTTGCTGAGCCATCGACCCTGCCACAACAGGAAACGCGACGAAATCCAGAACGGGAAATGCGATGACGGGGATGCGGAACCGGAGGTCATTACCGGGTTCTGGGGGACCACTGATTAATTTGTATTTTTTATGTAATCGTTTTGTGTAATCATATTGTGTAAATAAAAAGTCAATTTTCGTGATCCTATATCGTTTATGTAACGTACCACATTTAAAATAAAAAACGCGAAAAATCGCCTCTCAATTGCACTAAGGCGCCATCTCACTTGGCTTAGGGCAAGCCTTTCACACCTAGACGCCAAGTGAGATGGCGCCTCCCCTTTAAAATAAGGTGTAGGCGCCAATTGAGATGGCTTCTCCCTTGTGAGATTTTCAGAAACATAATTATTTGTATAATTTTCTCCGAAACATGATTATTTACGATTTTTTTTTAATATCTAATTATTTAAAAAAAAAATTATTTCATAAAATAAAATCTCTATTCTATTTCAGTCAACTCCATCCATTCAATTACAACTTTTCCCACTCCAGTCTATTTTATTTCATAAATCGACACATAGCTTTAGCCTCACATATTTTTCATTGAAAATCAAGACTATTTCTCATTCTGGTTTAAACTTTTCACTCTCTTTTCCGATTTGACCAAAAAAAAAAAAAAAGAATTATCCCATTTTTTACCGAAAAAAACTTCACATTTTCGTTTAACCTAGCAAAACATGCAGCCGCCACTGTAACTGAACCATCCCGCCGCTTCATCCTCTGCACCGCCGTGAGGGCATCACCACTGTCCCCAATCAACCATCAAGGTATGTGCATAACCACACGAATGCTTACTTCATATACTTACATGTAACCAATCCATGCAAGTCTCAACAATGCCCCCTTGCCGTAAATTCGTTCTCCGTTTCTTCCCTATCCTAAACCAATTCCGTTCAGTCTCTTCTTCACCGCAAGAACTTGAACATGCTCTTAGAACTATAGTAGAATCCAAAAACTATGTCAAAATCCCCGATTTCATTACCAATGAATTCTCACAATCCAATTCCCAAATTTCAAACCCTTTCTCTTTTTTATCTTCTTTTCCACATGATTTACAAGTGCATATGGTAGATGAAATGTTGCAGTCTTTTATACCTATCAGACCACGCCATAAGCCCAAGCTAGTTTATTCTTACCTTTTGTTTTACATTCTGCGAACTTCGAATCCACTCCCTCTTGCACTTGCTGTTCTACAGCGGACTTTACGTTCGGGCTGTTTACCAGTTCCTCAGACTCATGTACTTCTCTCTAATGCTTGGCTCAACCGGCGGCGATGTGGGTCGCAATCTGTAGCTGGTATGTTACTTGAGATGCAAGCAATTGGGTATTTTCCTGATTGTGGTACTTGTGGTTATATAGTTTCATCTCTTTGTGCTGTTGATCAGTTAGGGGAGGCGGTTAATGTCGTGAAGGGTATGAGTGGAGCTGGGTGTATTCCTGATTCGAGTAGTTTCGGGGTTGTGATTACTGCAATGTGTAGAGTTAGAAGGACTGTTGAGGGTTATGATTTAATGAAGGAAATGGTGGTGAAGTATGGGTTGACACCGGATCATGGAACCGTGGTGAAATTGTTGGCTGCTTTGCGGAGGAACAAAGAGATATGGAAAGGTGTTGAGGTGATTGAGTTTCTGGAGAAGGAAGGAAATGATGTTGGGTTTGAGAGTTATGAGATGGTGGTTGAAGGTTGTTTGGAGAGACGGGAATATGTTTTGGCTGGGAAGGTTGCGATGGGGATGACTGAGAGAGGTTTTATACCGTATATTAAGGTGAGGCAGAAGATAATTGAAGGGTTGGTGAGTATTGACGAGTGGAAGATAGCTTGTGCTGTGAGACAAAGATTTGCGAAACTTAAATCTTAGATGTTAAATTATTTACAGTGAGCAGGGTTCGGTTTTTAAGCTGGATAAGTGTCTATTGCGAAGACACGTACCTTCTGCGTTATGGTGTCATTGTTCTTTTTTTTTATGGTAAGGCTGAGATAGAGGATTGCAGCTCTAGGATCTTTGATTTGCAAATTATTTGGAGGTATAATCTCTATATGTTATTGCATGGAAACGGAGTGAGCACATAGAGGAACTGAGTTTTATTTGAATTGTAGAATTGATCCATGTAGCCGACGCTATTTAGTGGGATAATGCTTGGTTGTTGTTGTTGTTGTATAACTGATGTTTCTTCTTAGCTTGACTTTGATGATTTTCTTATATTCAAGAAAATTAGGCTGTATAGTGTACTTTTGACACGGGAAAATGAAGTAACTTCATGTGTAAAGGAAACAATATTAGAATATCATCTGCATAGATTATAAAATGGTGGGAAATATCGTGTTATTTATGCTTAATGTTCCAGTTCCAGTCATCTTTGTGTTTCTGTGGAATGATTATTTCATTATTTCTCTACAGCTTGTTAACCTTATACCATGTTTAACTGGTGCAATCACAAAAATAAACAAATTTTGGGGAACAATTTCTTGATTGGTGAAGATGATGTGAAATTGAGCTGTGTATTTGTTATCTTATATTTTTTATGCTATTTTGACAATATTGTGGAGTTTTCTTCATGTTGTTGTTCCTAATTTGTGCTCCATACAAAATTTCCTTGTCTAGCTACCTACAATGAAATTCAATCAATAGTTGCTATCTTTCTAAAACCTTTTATACGAAGTGTAAACAATATTTCTTGAGCTAATCATTCATTTGTATAACTACAACAGGTCAATTTTCCTAGCATGCTGATTAATGCTTGACAGGGTAGGTAGCATCCATGGCAATGCCGCAAGTTCCATCTTTATCCTTAATATCACGCTTCATCCTAACATAACCCGATTCCCCCCAGTCCTTTGCCCATGAATTCTTCACAATCCAATACTTTTCACCATTTTCTTCTCCATACCCAACTATAGTTATGCCATGATTGAGATCCTTTCCACAACTTCCCGAGAAAACACCTTTTGAATAAAATTGAAATGCATAGCCTCCGGCATCAGTTGCAACGGAAACAGGCTGATGGGCAACTGCAGCTTTTAGCATTTTCTCGTTGCGAGCAGGTACGTTTTCGTAGCCGCTTATAGTTACCTCATGGTTTTTAGCTTTGGCTTTGTTACATTTACCATTTGTTCCTGTATAAGGATATTCTTTGGCAGTGGCTAGCCCTCCATGTTTTTTGATGTAGTTGAATGCTATGTACATGTCGCCACCCTCGCAACCTTCATTCCCACTTTTAGTATCACAATCTATCAACTGTTGTTCTGATAATGAAACTAAATTTCCTGTTTTTATCTTGTTGATGCCTTCCACAGCCGCCACTGCTGAGAATGCCCAACAACTTCCTGCATCAAGTTTTATACCATCATCTCAGCTAGTTAGCTCTAAACCCACATTCAAAAAATGTTTAAGCATGATCTTTAGCTCACGAACTCATCAGTAGATAAATATTAGAAGACTTCAAATATGTTTAGTTCTTAGGCAATCCCTTAAGATAAAGAGTAACTTTCATTATCGATATAACTATACGAGACTAATTTATTCTTTCAAATTCAAATTGCAAACACTGACACACTTCATATAAAGTTCTTATAGACTTACCGTTTGCTTGTGTTTCAAATTGAATTCTCAACTGTTGGACAACTAACTACACGAGGCTCAATTCTGATTCTGTGACTAATAATTTTTTTGCATTTTTTCCTCCAGTTTTCTTTTACTAAAAAGATATTTTTAATGGCGGCAATCTTCTACTGTTGAATTTTAACTGATGAGGATCGTGGTTAGTGTATGTTCGTATATCTCGTAGTGTTATATATGAGAAAATGAATAAACTTAATTTGCAATAAATTTTACCACAACGGCCTTGATCTTTGACACGTGTAACTGCACCTTTCTTCCTCCAATCTAGGTTTCTTGGAAGATCTCCATGTTTATGATACTTGGTTTTTGCCTGTGCATGCAACCGAGGTAGAAAACCTAAATACTTGCTTCTGAATTCTTCATTTGTAAGATCTGCAAACCTGTTGTCTGTGAGCTTGTAAGAATAGTTTCTAGAGTTGTAGAACTCTATAAACTGAACATTTGATTGGTAAATATCAAAACGAACTTCCTCTTCTTCTCTGTCCCTGTAATGTCGTCTGTGTTGTTTCAGCCAAGTTTCATACCTCTTCTTCATAACTTCTGGATTAGTTGAATTCTTTTTATGCATTGCAGGGTTTACACTTGCAGTTATCCATAGATTGCACAAGACGACAAGATTGAGGATAACAATGCTTAATGTTATAGTTGTTTTCATCTCTAGTTCTTAGTGCATATAGTGAATGATAGCATTAGCATTAATTGATATTTATTATCATAATCAAGTATACATTAGTTCTTAATGTCTTGTTTATGTTATTTGTTTATTTATGCATTACAATGCATGTTAATTTCTGTTTCAGAAACATTTCATTTGCATATTTATGTCCATTTATCTCCACGTGTTTGGTGCTTGAGAGTTTTAGCAAGACAAGAATTGTGTATCATGTTCTGTGCATGATCATAATGAAGACGGACATGTGTTAAGAATATTCCATAATTTAGGGAGTTTCAGTTGGTGTGAATAGTTAATTCTTGTGTTGGCATATTGAATGGATTTAAATTGAACAAACGACTCAATTAGAGTTAGCTGTCACCCAAGAGCACTTGGATGAGAACGAGAAGAATTAACTAGAGGTCTTGAGTTTGAATTTAACTATGAGCATAACACTTAACTAGAGGTCTTGAGTTTGAATTTAACTATGAGCATAACACTGTTAAATTCTCTTGAGGGAGAACTTTGTCGTCCATTGTGGTCCTCTCTGATTTGAGGGAATAGTCTTTGCTCTTGCGCAATAGTCTTAAAGAATGTTCATTTTTCTTTCTATTTTCCATTTCTAATTGATCGCGAGTACATTGAATCAACAAATTCATGTTTGTCTAAAGTTAACGTCATCTCAGTTTCTCAAGAGAATATTGAACTTCTTTTTCTTATTCACATTTGTAAGATCTCACTCTACATGCCTAAGAACTTAAAGATGCCATTGATTATAATATGAAACTCCATGAAGGTGCTCTTAATCGTGTGCTATGTCAAACTTTTATCTCCTTATAAAACTAAATTAATTCAAGTTAAGATAAGATGATAGAAGAAGGTGCTTAGAAAGACATATATGCACATTCTCATAGAGAGAAAGAGAGCATATACCCTACATGTGGGAATGGTTTGGGGACAAAGCAAATAAAGCATATAGTGCATGCAAACAATTCACATGGGGGCATAACACGATCTTCACAATAACCCCTAACTTTTCCCTCTCTTTCACAGCTCATACCCCAAATACCACAAGTCCTCACAATCTTACTTATATCTTAAATTACTTAGTAAAACACATCGCACCCCATGCATAACAAATTCACATTCCCGTATCCACATAGTTAGCAACATCAAAATTTGATCGAGATCAAATGATGTAAACTATTCACATTCGCATCCACATAGTTAGCAACATCAAAATTTGATTGAGATCAAACGATGTAAACTAAAAAGTCAACTTTAAAACCCAAAATCTATATAGTAGAATCTCGATTAAACAATCACTAATATGATCCTAAAATATATATCATAGAATCTTGATCAAAGAATCTCTGATATTACCGACTATATGAATATAGAAAAAATCACGCAGTAACCACTACACACTTTCTTACTAAAAATATCTTATACATGCACATGGTCTTTGTTCTCCTCTAAGTTAAAGATCATTAAAGATCACAAACCCATATGATTTCACCAATCACTAACTTCCTTAAGTGGGGTTGGTTCTCTTTCCTTTAGACAATCAATTAATCTTTAAAATTTCATCTAGAACGTGGACGCGATTCATTCGAATCAAACCCAATACCTAATTCTGTTTTCCCTTTTCATCTAAAAATAAACTTGTTAAAAAAAACACTAATTTAAGATATTTTTCTCTAACCACCTCAAACAAACCTAAATTAGTTAATCAACTAGAACTCAACTCTTTTTCTTAACTTAATAATTACAAAAAAAACACAAAAAATTCTAATTAATTAACATTAGATTTTCCATGATCAAAGAGTTAAAATTAGTATATTCCGATTGAACATATATATAGATAGATAAGAGAATAATGTTCCAAAATGGGACCTTATTATTTATAAAATTAAGATAAGGGTATGTGACTAAATAGAAGGTCACAATGGCACGTGGTGGCTGATTCCCACTATCTATTAAACCCACTGGCGACTTTCCAGTTACACCGTTGAGTCCCTCTTCCCAGCTGTTCATAGCTGTCCATTCCTTCTCCATCCCCATGTGACCCTACTCACACAAGATACCTTCAATTTTTTTTTTCATTTTTTTTAAGGATTTTATACCCTTAAACAAAATATTTAAAAATATTTCACATCACAAAAAGAAAAAAAAGAGAAAAAAAAATTCATGATTATGTTGTTTAATTAACTTTATAACTTTCTTCCCTCTAACATTCCCCAAAGGTTTCTGGGGTTATACATATAGGGTTGTGTTAGAGGCTCTTCACCTTCATTTTTCTTCTCCCCCTCTCTCTATCTCTCTATATCTCTCATTCATAAATTGCATATTATTTTCATGCAAAAACATCATTAACAAAAACATCATTAACATATCTAAGGTTTGCAAAAAATCCTGTTAAATGGCACAATTACCTCCCAAGATTCCTAACATGTCACCAAGTTGGCCAGATTTTTCAACTCATCAAAAAAACATTATGCCAACATCCGTTTCAACCAACAACCTTGTCTTCAACAACAACGTTAACACAAACAGTTATCATCAGAATCAAAACCCTTCATGGGTGGACGAGTTTCTCGACTTCTCGTCCGCAAGGCGAGGAGCTCACCGTCGGTCTGTCAGCGACTCCGTTGCATTCTTAGAATCGCCAATGTTCGATGATTGTCCCGGGAAAAATGGTGAAAACAATATTAATGATGATGACAACGAGTTCGACAAGTTTGATGATGAACAGTTTATGTCCATGTTCAACGATGAAATATCTGGTGTACATAATATGCCGCCGATATTGTCCTCGTCGAATGCTTCGAGTCCTTCTGATCAGAACTTTGTCAACAATGAGAATGAGAATGAGAATGAGATGATGAATAAGGAAGAGAAGAAGGAAAGTGATTTGAGAGAGATGAAGAAAGAGGAAGATGATGAGAAGCAATTGAAAAATGAACCTGAGGAGGTTGAAAGTCAATGCCAACAGGAAAATTCACAGCCTCAAAATAACAACAACAATTCATCTTCTTCTAATGACAGAATTACTGATCCTAAGAGAGTCAAAAGGTAACATATAATGAAGCAAATGCATGTAATCTTGTTCTTCAAAACTATATATACATAGTGTGTTGCATTTGGTTTTTATGAACTTTACTATATTTTCTGTATTATTTGAAATTGATTTTGGTTTTTGTGATAGAATCTTGGCGAATAGGCAATCGGCGCAAAGATCGCGAGTGAGGAAGCTGCAATACATATCAGAGCTTGAGCGAAGTGTAACTTCATTACAGGTTTGTGAGTATGATAATTGTTGAATTTTTTGTGGAAATATTTATGTAGTATTATAGAATATAGAAATTGATGTGTATAGTAGTAGAGATAATTAAATGATGATAATGTTATTGACTTTTTGTTATTGTGTTGACCGATATTATTGAAGGCCGAAGTTTCGGTGCTTTCTCCACGAGTTGCATTTTTGGATCATCAACGTTTGCTTCTAAATGTTGACAATAGTGCTCTCAAGCAAAGAATTGCAGCTCTTGCTCAAGACAAGATTTTCAAAGATGGTATAGTGATTTTATTGAATTTCTAGCATAGTAGTAGTTCTTTGAAGTTGGTTGCGGTTAGCCGTAGATGATTAATAAAACTAAAATATATAAATTAGTCATAGGTGATGGAATGGATACGAGTTGGGTTATTAAGATAATTTGGCCAACTCAACTAAAATACGGGTTGGGTCATAATTAAATTAATATGGTAAACTCAACTAGAATAGAACCATGAAAATTAGTCTGAATTCGATGAATGAGTGATGATGAATTTTTATTCGAACATATATACAACCCTGATTATCAAGAGTGGGGCAAAGTTTACCACTTAATAAAGTTGCACTTCTATTATCTTTTCTAGTGAAAGTTTGATACAAAAAAATTTATTTGATTAGATTTTATAAGGAAGGAACATGCCATTAATTACGAGAGTGCATACAAAGTTATGTTGAATGAATTTAGAGAAAGTGTTTCTGTTTGCATGCACACATATTAATGTGTCTCTATATGATCATGTGCATTGTCTCAAACTAGTTAATACTTCTCTAGTGTCCTACTCAAAGTAGTTGATACTTGCCTTCGGATTTTCTAGACTCATAAATTTCAACTATAACGTTAGTTGTTAGTTGTTCGATCAAAGATCAGACGATTTAGTTTTTAAATCAAAGTTTATTTGCTATAATATTATTTTGAATGCATGCAGCTCATCAAGAGGCACTGAAAAGGGAGATAGAGAGATTAAGACAAGTATATAACCATCAAAATCTCACAAAGATGGAAAATGCAACAGGTTCACCTTTACCATCTCCATCACAAAAGCCATTATGTGATCCTCAGCCAGAAAATGAACAACTTTTCAATGTATGACTCAACCCTTCAAAGAAGAGTACTCACACTATATACCTAACTAGTTACCTTATATTATCATACCGTGATTCTTTTATTTTTATCAAAAGAATTTGCACAATTTTTTATAATAGAACAAAAAATAATTAAGATTTTTTTTTAAAATGTAATTGGATGAATTGTAAATTATAACTTGTCACAATGTCATGTTTTGTTAAGTTTTATATATTGTGAAAATTTTGTTCTGTGAGTTTACGATAGGAAACACAATATGAAAAAGGGAAGTAAATTTATTGAGAAGAGTCACGTTATTGGGTAGTAGTAGTAGTACAAGTAGGGTTGTGTTTCTGTTAAAGAAAGAGAGGAAGCACGTGAAGTGTTTTAGTTAAAAAGAAAGGGACCACTCAAAGTTTGCATGATTGGAATGCAGGGAAACACATGTGCAGCAGTGGCATCAAAAGAAAGGGTGGAAGAAACAGTTGTGTCTGCTTTAACTTAATTTATTTATTATACTATCTATCTATATAGAATAGAGGTATAATAATAATGTTAATGTTTGTTGATGATTCTTTCACTTCATTATTTTTTGTGTTTTGATTCTTGTGGAGTGTTTGGATATATTGGATAGGAAAGAAAAGTGTGTCACCATTGGATTATTTAATGAGTTTGGTTGTAATCTATTATAATTGTTATATAATAATCATTTTTATTTGACATATTAATTAGAAGAAAAAAAAAATCTAAACTATAAATAGTTATCATCATTTGACTCAATTGTGATGTATTTATGAAATGAATTTTTGTGTATTGTATTATATGTAGTTTTTGTGGGGCATATGGAAATCTTGGTAATGGATAAGGTAATGAGTTATTGTAAAACTATAGTATGTGATGACAAAATTCTGAAAAAGGTAGATAAGATTCATTGTGAGTTTATTGTTGACAGTAGTTAGTTGATTCGTTGAATGAAATGTGGTGTACGATTTTTGAAGTTACATAAATATAGTGTTAACCAGCTTTCTTAGATGTTGGCAAATGATCACTTATTTGTTTTTAGTTGAGTATGTATATTATTGATTAATTAAATGATTCATTAATCACTAGCTGCTAAAGGACACCTCAAGAACAAATGGATAATGGATTCATTTGATCCAAAGCACATTAGACAAACCTGATCATGAGTACCATTTAGAATCCCTCTTCTAGCTAAGTCGACTCTAGTTGGTAATTTTAGTTTTTCATAAAACCTCCAAGTCTTTTAAGTAGATTTTTTTTTAAATAATTATTTTTTAAAATTTTTTTTCTCAAATAACCACTTTCTCAAAAAAATTATCAAAATAATTACCTTTTAAATAGAAATATTCGTCACACGAAGGTCAAGTCACTATGTGTGGCGCATGCATGTAAATTAGAGAGAAGGCGCCACACTGCATAACTTATTCTCCTATGTAGTGCCATGCAGTGTGACGTATGCATGTAATTTTAAAGAGGAGGCGTCATAGTAGATGGCTTGACAATTATATTTGGTCTTCTATAAATGCAACCATTCATCTTCACCATTTTCACAACACTTCTCACATCACTCTTAGAAAATTTCTTTCACTCTCTTGTCAACGTTTTCTATTCCATTGCCAAGGTTTTCACTGATCAAAAGAGATGCTCACGTTATTTTTTCGACGACAAAGCCTCCGATGAAGATCAAACTCTAGAACATGCAGACGGTCGAACATTTTCAGAGGCACTTGATTCGCTGGTTGGAATGAGACATCCCTGAAGGTGAACAGATCAGAAAAATAGAAAGACAAATTGCAGTGAGGAACGAAAAAAGAGTAAGTCGTTCATGGAAAAAGGTGAGATGCGATGCTGATGTCATGATGATGATGCTTGGATCAGACGGTATTGTGTTGATGGTTTTTATCTCTTATATATTATGATGTGTTTAGTTGTTTTGTCTGCTTATCATGTTGTTGTGTTTTGCGTAGTTGTCCTGAGTTTTCCGTGTTGTAATTTTTTGGTCCATTATCTGAAGGTTATTGTAATCGAATGTTAACTTGAACACGAAATAAAAACTCGAATTTAAATTGAAATTTCTTGCTTACAACAAATTAATTACTCCATAAAGTTTGCTATAAAAAAATTAGGTTGCAGAGCTAGACCCAATATTTAGACAATTTTTTCGATTGTGTCCGGAAAGACGACATGTACTGCATAATCTTATCATTTTGTTGGTCGTATCCATTTCAATTCTAATACGAGTGCTATTGGGGCGCCTCTTTTTCTTCCTTCGCATTTTTTCATTGTGCCAAACAATGTCCCCTTGATAAGCAGGCCAATAATCCTCCTTTGCCAACACATAAAGTATAAATGAATATTACTCATGGCAGTGGCACAAGATGGCAGCAATAATGTTTTTTCGATTGCCTTCGCTCTAGTTGAAGGTGAGACAGGTGGTGCATGAAATTTCTTTTTGAAGAATCTCCGATTACATGTTGCTTATCAACCCAACCTTTGTTTGATTTCAGACAGACATCCATCGATTGTGAGTGTATTCAATAACTCTGATAAGGTTAGTAGGATCCCCATTCAACACATGTCTATTGCATTAGACATATCACACAAAACTTCATGCTCCATATCAAAGACAAGACACTTTGAAAGAAAGTTGTTAATGCGCGGCATGCCTTAACAGAACCACCATTCCAATACTATCACGAAGAAATCCGGTTGACAAACTCAGAAGCGTTATGGTGGATCGACAACATTCCAGTGGAGAAGTGGACTCAGGCATTTGGAAATGGTCAACAATGGGGCCACATGACAACAAATTTGGTGGAATCATTGAACTCTGTCTTTAAAGGCATCTTAAACCTACCAATTGCTGCATTGGTTAGAGGAATATATTTTAGATTGGGGTCATTGTTCAATACAAGAAGTTCGAAATGGAGGGTAGTGTTACAATTAAGGCAGTTGTTCGGTGAATGCAAAATGAACTCATTTAACGAGGAGGCTGCCAAAGCTAACACCCATAGTGTCATTGTGTTTGACCATAGTAAAGGTTGGTTTAGTGTACAAGAAATAATGGATCATAATGAGGGGAGGCCAAGGGGATACTATCGGGTCGAACTAGATAGAAGTTGGTGCGATTGAGGAAAGTTTCAAGTATTTTGCATGCCTTGCTCTCATGTCATAACGTCATGTTCGCATGTTCTCTTGGACCCAATAGGACATATATCCTTCGTTTATACAGTCAAGAGTGTTTTAAGTATGTATATCAATACCTTCTCCGTGTTGGTAAAGGAGGATTATTGGCCTGCTTATCAAGGGGAATTGTTTGATACAATGAACAAATGCGAAGGAAGAAAAAGAGGTGCCTCAATAGTACTCGTATTAGAACTGAAATGGATACGACCAACAAAATGATAAGATTATGCAGTACATGTCATCTTCCCGAACACAATCGAAAAAATTGTTCGAATATTCAGTCAAGCTCTACAACCAATTTTTTTTATAGCAAATTTTCTAGAGTAATTAATTTGTTGTAAGCAAGAAATTTCAATTTAAGTTTGAGTTTTCATTTCGTGTTCAAGTTAACATTTGATTACAACGACCTTCAGATAATGGCCAAAAAAATTACAACACGACAAACTCATGACAACTACGCAAAACACAACAACATGATAAGTGATAAGTGCAAATTATAGCTATTTTTATATATACTTTTTGTCGAACTTATCGACTCTTTGTTGTTAATATCGACTGAATAAACCTGACTTTTGTGTAAATATGTTTAGTTTATTTTTATTTGTATTTTTGTGTACATAGTGTACCAGTTAATGTTTTTCCATTCATTTTGTAGGTATGTGTTGCATTTTGGAGCATTGAAGAATAAGGCGTCGAAGGCACGACTTCAGATGCACGTTTTCAGAATAAAATACCAGTTTTTCCCAGGAGAGCCCACTTAGCGCGTAAAAGGCCGCTCAGCGTGAGTGCACTCAACACATTTTGTAGCGTGCTGCTTGCGTTTTGACATTATGGAAAAACCAAAATTTTGGAGCCCTCTTAGCACGATTTAGGTCGGTTTGATGTGTAAAATAAAGAAGTCGCGCTTAGTGCGCCTGGCCCGCTTAACGCGGTCTGCTGAGATGAGTTTTATAAAAACATATTTAGTTCATTTTTTAGGTGATGGTTTTGGAGAATTTTTTGCTCCCAACTCCATCAACCTTCATTTTTATTAGATTAGCTTATAAAACAACACTATGGCTTTGCTTATGGATGATTGGAGGTGGATTTTTCATCGACCAGCACTGACAAACCGGAAGATTTATGGTTTATCTCTTTTCCTCTCTTTGTATTTCTATTTTGTTGGGTATTGTATGTATATTTTCTTTGAACTCATGTATATTTGTCGTCCTTGGCATTATATAAAACTTGCTTTACAAATATTTGTCAATTGTTATCCTTGATTTTTGCTATGTGCTAAGGATTTGAGTTGCTATAGACATATACTGCTTAGATTCTTATCTAGGATGATTATCTAATAGTGTATGAATTCTAGAGATAGATTTAGTGTTGTTATTCACTTAGGGTGTCTGTGATTAATGTCTCTGTGTTGTTTGTGTTGCTCTGAGAGATCTCCGACACAAGCGAGCATAATTGACTTCTGTGTTGTTGAGGTGGTTGAGAGATCGCTACCGAGGTGATGCAGTCGACCTCTCAATTTGGGTTAGAAATGACTTAGGTTGTGAGTGACACGTGATGACATTTATGAATACTGTAGCTTTAGTATAACATGTCAATAGGTTTAAGTATGTGATAAGTAGTATATATGCATGCTTGATAAGTTATTTCTTTTTCCTTTTTATACATTTATTTTCTGTTGATACTTTTCCTTTCAACCCATTTATCCCCAAACTCATTAACGAGATATTTGTCGAACGACATTTCAATTCACCAATCTCTGTAGACACGATATGATATAACCTAAATATCACCCGGTAAATTAATAAATTACTTTTTTCTTTCCGCTTTACTGCAACAAAAAAATGGCGCTGTTGCCGGGAATTAGTGTTTATTGTTTCGCATTGCGATAGTTTCTTTGTTTTTGAGTTTTGTAATTAATGTATATGTTGTACAGAATATGTACATAAACTTGTCTATTTTTACTTGTACATGTTTTGTGTTTACTTTCCATACTTGTGCATATATGTGTTTTTCTTTGTTTTCACGTATTGTTGTGAATTGTCTCGTTTTCGTAACGTTTGTTGTGTGGATGTTAGGACACTTTCTTTAGGTTTGTGTGGTGTGACAATACCATGGAATGACGAGAGGAGGTTACTAGCTCGCACAATAAAGGCGTCAAGCTTACGACGTAAAACAAGCATGTTATGTTTGAATTCATTTATGCATGTGTTGACTTGTGTTTTAACAAGTTGAAATCAGACCTATTTTAAATTCTCAATTTTTCACTTTTCAACTTGTTAATTCACTTTCACCCGTTAG